GCCTGGTCTCTGCGGTAGGTCTCCTGTGTGTTCCTTTTCTTGTCCACCAGACTCATGCAGGTGTCTGAGCCATCGCAAGGCGTAGGAAACAGCAGAAAATGATTGTATTGAGTCTCTCAAAGCTCACCTTAGATGGAGACTGAGTCAGAGAGGACTGTGTTGTTGTCATAGGTGCAGCAAGTGTGAGCACAGTGGAAAAGTGTCCCTTTGCACTAGGAAGAAGTTCAGTGACTGCCTCTTCAGTTTTTGGAGAGGAATATTTCTCACTGCTTGCTGTAGATATTCTGTATAAGAGGAAAGATGGAAATGGAGGGTCATCAAGAAGTAGGATGATGTTTTGCCATCTCTCAGCTTCAGCACAGTGTGGGGGGTGAGGGTTCAAGGGATCACGGAAGAGATGTCTCGTTCTTATCCATCAGATCCCCCTGGCATGGTCATTCTTCTGACAGACACACCTTGAACTATGGGCTCAGATCGAGCAAACTTCATGCTGGGGGCATAAGAGAGTTGGGAACCTGGCTCTTGTGAGGGCTGGGGCAGCATGTTCATGGAGCTGGGGTTGTCCCTGCAATCCCTGTGCCTCCCTGGTGCCGGCTACTGACTGCTGGGAGGGGTTTACGGACAGAGAATTGTTCCAGGCGTTGGGAATCCCTGAGCCATACACAGCAGCAGGTGCAGTCTGCCAGTACCATCGGAGAGTGGACTGCACACAAGACTGGGATGACAGGAAACCCCCTCCCCCCCGAATTGTTTCTATGGAAATGCATTGCATTGCTTCTGCACTGGCTGGAAGTGGCTGAATCGGAAACTGGGGAGAGGCTGATGAGCACAAAAGGAGCTGCAAAAGCACATATTGCTGGGTCAGCCAGCAGGGGGAAAAAAAAAGGAAGGAGAGAAAAAGAGCAAAAAATGTGTGGGTCTTACAGGAGACTCAGAAAACACCTCCTTGGAGTTAGTGAATTAAAGCTGTTTATGATAAGAAACTGTCTTTTCATATTCTTTGAGGGTTTATGTTAGAGCGGCTGCGTTAAACTGCCGCTGCGGTTTAAAATAGCACCGTGTTCAGGGAGGAGAGTCTGTCTTTTGTGAGGTTACTCCTGTAGTTACAGGTGCAGCTTTCAGGACAATATTTGGCATTCAGTGTAGAGCACCATGAAACAAATGCATCATATGAGCTCTCAGAGCAATTTTTCTCTCTCTCATGTAGCATTTACCGTATGTTTGGCTTGTTGGCAATTTAATCAGTCTGAATAATCTTGTTTTGTGACAAACCTCCTAAATCACAAAGGAATGATGCAGTTTGTATGGGTGAAATGTGCTTCACAGAGATATTTCAAGTTGAAGAATAAAAATGAGAATTAGACAATGCAGAACTCGTTGAAAGCCAGTTTTCCAGCTGCTCTAATTTCCCACAATTTAATTTGTATGCCATCAAAAGCAACTTGGAGGCTTCCAGCAAGATGATAGAACTATGGGTGAGGCTAAACAGAGGGTCTGAAATGTGCTGAATGCATTGCAGTCCCATGCTGTAAAAACATCTCGTAGGACCAAATACAGGCAGCATAATATCCTAGTAAATTGGACCATTAAATAAAACTGTGAAGTCATAAAGCTGTAGCATTACCCTGAAATTAAAGCATTGTCACCTTTGAATTATGGAACAATTTAACAAGCATTTAGGAAATCTGCTTTTCAAGACTGCATTTAACTATTCCAGGTTATACAGTAGAAGATGTGGCTGCACTCTCCTACTGGGTTTTGAATGGCTTTCAGCTTGTGTGTGGTTTGAAATTTTACCAGGCTGAGAAAGTAATGAAATAATGAAGTGGAATAATAGAAGGTAAAAATAAACAGTGACCTTTGCCTGGAGAACAGCTTTTTCATTCCGATTGCAAATTCACAAGTGCAGAGAGAGCTCATTAGAGTAAACAGGAAAAAACATATAGTATGGACAGATGTAAAAATAATGGTAATGTGGTTGAAACAAAGGAAAAGAGAACCTTATCTGCCCAGTTTAGCAGTTTCCAGATATGGAGATGGCCAGAAGGAACTAGTGACACTCAGCTTGGTTTGCATCTATGATTCCAGTGTCACTGCCTAAAAATACAATTCAAGCAAAACCGAAAAGGATGAAGTGGTGTTTTGGTTTTTCTCAATCCTCATATTGTGAAATAGGGACAGTATTTGGAGCTCCATTTTCAAAAGCCATAGGCATAATCCATGCAGAGGTATGCCTAAGTCATGAAGCTAAGCTGCAGACAGCTGTTGTACTGCTTTCTGTCTATAGTGATCGGTGCACAAGCTCCCAGGTTGTTGTCAGCAGACTTCAGAGTACGTGCGGATTGAGCTGTAAATGTACAGTTCCTTGACCACATTCTGAGGCAAGCCAGATGTATTCTGGGAGCATCCCTAACTAAACTTGTGCATATGAATTTGAGAAAATGGTAAATTTTCCTAAATGCTGCTGGGTTTGAGTTGGGGAAAATGGTGCTTCAGTAAAGCCCAAGAGTTGACCTGGGTGGTTAGGTTTATTTTTGTGTGGTTTTCTGATCTATGGAAGCAGGTGTCCATGATCTTGCTGTTGTCTTTGAATGGTTCAAGAATTTACTGCCCTCCAGCTCTTAGTTACTCCTCCTTCAGTCAGCTTTCGCGGTATACAAGTACACAGCCTGGAAAGCACTGTAGTGTTAACCACTCTGTGTTAGGCTGTTGTACTTCCTGAGCAGCACTGTAGCCACTATTGTGAGCATTGATGTTAATGCAATTTCTCAAAATTATGTTAATAACTCTCAGTGGGGAGAAGCTTACGACTGCCCACCTGGAATTTCAGCAACCAGTTCATTCCATTGTCTCTTGGTTTTGCATTATCAGCAACTTGACGTTTGTCTTTTTAGTAGATTTCTCAGTGAAGGGGTTAAACTTCTACCAGCTTCAGTGAGAGGAAAGTTATCTCACCCTCAACTGCTTCTGAAAAATCCACTCTGTTCATGTCAATCCTTGAGAGAACAAAAGAAAAAACAGACTCCAGCTGATAAGAATCACTTCTTTCAGATGTACAAGATGTGTGTTATGAAGTCATTGAATTATATTGTGTTGGAAGCAATATATGTGCAGGACTGCAAGGATATTGTGCTAGTGTTGACTGTGATTACAACCACTGGGGCAAGTTTTACAAGCAATAAATTTGTAATATTTCTTGTGATTTTAATCTACCTTTTGTGTATCTCACACATTGAGCAGTGTTTCATTGAGTTCCAACTCAAAGGATCCAGAAGCAGCATCCGGAGCTCAATAAGAAACAGAATTACACATCTATGAGCAAACTCTTTCTGTCTACTGCCACAGAAATGATGAGTGTGTTGTGAGTGAATGTATGGTTTGCTGAGCATAAACTGTCCTTACACTTAATGCCATACATTACTGGGAGAGTAATTTCTCTGTAACTTGCAGCCAGGTCTTGGAACAGACCTCTTTAAATAGTCTCCAGATGGTTGTTGTTACTTGCCTGTCATCTGAATGCTTCTATAATGACAATCCATTAAATCATCTGAGTGTTTTTGCACAGATAGTCCATTTAGGATTTTTATACACCTATTAGAGTTCTATTGAAATAATCTGTGGGATATTTGTAGCTCCAGGAAAAATACTTCAACTGTAATGCGTTGCAGTGGCCACAACGCTGTTGGGCTCGTCATGCCAGCCTATTAGGGAGTAACTGGAAAGCTCATGCTCTGCAAGAATTGACACCAGGTAATCTGGTCAAACCAGCTGAATACTTAAATGCCCAGTTTTTAAGATCGGTGTAGAAAAGATCTGGTTCAGCATTATCGAGGGTTTCGCTGTTGAAGCATTCATAACAAAATAGAAATCTGTCTAGGTCTTCCCTCTTTGTCTGTAGCTGTCCCTAGGTTTCTGCAAGTGAGGTTGAAATCATCTTCTCATCAAATCATTAAAGTTTAGTTATTTAAAAACATCGTGGAGCACATGCTATGCTCAGTCCTGTGAATGCTCATTGAGTTTGCCTTTTTACCAGGTCAGCTTGGCAGATAGGCTGTTCAGGCTGTGCTTGTTATCTTGCCCATTGCTATCTTGACCATTGCTATCTCACCAGAACCAGACGGGAAACAGCCTCCCTGCTAAGCTAATTGCTTCTAATTGCAGTGTTCTTCTTATCATGCCAGCCCCAATACTGGTCATGAGCTGGGTTGTTAGGATGCAGGTTGTGCTTGCACCTCGATTCTGGTTTCTGTCACCTACAAAATCCCTTGCTCTGCCAGTAAATGCAATGAAGGAGGCGCTAATGAGCTCCCCAGAATGGAAAAAATCTGAGGATGGAGTAAAATGAATGAATGACTTCAAACTGGGTGCTATGAACATACTCTCCGTTTTAGCTTTTTGGCAAGAGTTTTTGGTTTGTGTTTGTGGTGGGTTAGTGTGAGCTCATCAGCCGCCGTTCTCCGCTACCATTTATTGGTGTAACAGTGTGGGCTGTACTCTCATGGTACAGCTGCGTTTGCAGAGGATGAGCATTACCCCCATGAGCCATATTATTATGCCTTTTCTCTCGGGGCCAAAGCCAGCTGAAAGGTACCTAATTTTCTTCAAATACCTGGCAATAGAAGATGCTGAAAATCTCCTGTGGTTCCTGGGCAGCTTATAGTTTCTCTCTTGCTCAGCAGGCTATGTAGTGTTTGCTCAAGTTGTTTCAGGAAGAAACAGCTCTGTGGACTACGCTGCCCTGTAACAGGTCTTCATCACAGAGTGTCCTGCCCTGCTGATCCTCTCTCCAATGCTGTAAAGCATTAGGTTTCAATTTGGTTTTTGTTCCCTGCTTGTTGCAACGTGGGGTTTGTTTTTTTTTTTTTCTGTTAACTTCCCATTCAATTCTTTTTCATTTAACAGAAGATAAGATCTGGACTGCAGTGCAGCACAACAACACAGGGCTAACCAGAGTCCAAGGAGCTGAGCCGCCTGCTGATCCTCTCTCCAATGCTGTAAAGCATTAGGTTTCAATTTGGTTTTTGTTCCCTGCTTGTTGCAACGTGGGGTTTGTTTTTTTTTTTTTCTGTTAACTTCCCATTCAATTCTTTTTCATTTAACAGAAGATAAGATCTGGACTGCAGTGCAGCACAACAACACAGGGCTAACCAGAGTCCAAGGAGCTGAGCCGGAGAAGCCGTACACCATGTCCTTTAACTACAATAGCAGTGCAGAACAGCTTGAAGCCGTGATAAACAGTGCCGAGTATTGCGAACAGGAGGCAGCCTACTACTGCAAAAAGTCACGTCTGCTGAACACCCCAAGTAAGTGCCATGATCCCAAATCTTTCCTTGTTAACTCTCATTGATTATACAGCAGATATAGGTCACACCGCAACTGAGGGGAAGAAAAAGCAACCAGCCAACCAAACTAACAAACAAAAAAACCCCAAACAAAAAACTCCCACAAATAGTAGCAATACAGAGTAGAGTAAAAAGCCTTTTTACCTTCTTGGATACCACTGTGCAGTGCCTGTCCTCTAATGCAAAAGGGTCAGGGCTCTGCAGGGGATTTTCCACTCTGTAAGTTCATGCGTACAAAGGCTCTGAAATCTTCTAACGTGGAAAGCGCTACTTAGGAACCACAAAAGCTGTACTTAGATGAAGGTAAATGGATATGTTTATTCAATTACAGTTTTTAAATGTATAAGAAGATAGAAAGCATCCAGATTCCTCTAGAATCTCATGATGTTTTGGAGACGAGGCCATGAATATGGTGTCAAAGTGCTTAGTAGTACAGTTTCAGGGACAAAACTAATTTTCCCCTCCTGATGGAAAGAAATTCTTGCCCTGACTTAATGTACCAGCAACAAGAAAGCAGAAGGGTCTGATCAGTTTGTGTCTCTGTGCAGTAGCAAACCTCCAGTGACTACTCAGGACAGGAGCCTTCTGCTCAACCTTCTCTTGGGGTTAGGATTATATATTTGCTTAGCCAGAGAGATGAATGACATTAAAGGCAGGCTTTTGAATGTCTACAAAGTTTCATCTGGTTACTTGGAATGACTGTATAGTCCTGGTGATTCTTTGATTATTAGCAACTCTTACATTTGTTAGTAGGTTAGAAGAAATCCCATGGAAAACCTTAAGGGGAACTTGCAATGGGTGTTTTTATTGTGTTAAAAATATATTGCTTAATGAGATGTATGAAAAACCCGCCTGGTTCCAGCGAAGTTAGCGTAACACAGAATGTTCATGGATCCAGTAATCAGATGCCTTACAGCCAGTTTATTTTTAAAACCTGTGTATTATGTCTTCTGTTATCATCAGAATTTACCAGCCAAGAACTGCTTGTATTGCTCGTCATTTTTTAAAGAGTGGACTGTTAATATCAGCATCCCTGATAAAGCACAAAGGGAAAACAAAAAGCAGGCATTAACTGCTCATGAAGAGGGGGAACAAATGTCTTACAAATGCTTTCAACTTGCTGGCTTCTGTATCCCACACCACTTGTGACATGTTATGACGTTATAATCACCGCAGTGATTACTTCCAAAACGTTGTTTTTTTAAGGATGAAGGCCACAGTATTAGAGCAGGTCTGTATGTGTTTACTTTTACACATTTCTGTGAGGTATTTTGTCATGTGCTTGCAGAAAGGTACACTGTGAGTGTATGTTGAGATACCTCTTGTATATGGTGTCTCTGTAAAGCTAGGGAAGCTTCTTAAGGATCCAGACCCATTTCTCCTTTTTTCTTTATTTTAAAAAGTTATAATCTTGTACAAATTGAAAGCTTATAAACTATCCTGCTTCAGGGCTAAGGCTATCTATCAACTGGCAGAGGCTAAGACGATTCTTGACAGGCAGCTCCTCTCCAGGACCAGGACCAAAGTTGTGAGTCTGACTCCTCAAGGGAGAGGATGCAGGAATGGTGTCAAGCAGCCTGGCTTGTGCTCTTGCAGCTGCTGCAGTGCCAGTGTGCTCCTGACAGCTAACCACACAAGAATTCGTGACTCAACTCTCTAGTACAGTTCCAGAAAAAATAAAATAAAGAAATAAATATAAAGATATCTATATATAAGAAATATAAAGCTAAATCAGAAACGGATACAATCCAGTGCTGTGCATGTGGCAGACACCATCATGTTTTCCTCTCTTTTTTTCCTCTTGTGTGTGCTTTTAAATTACGCTTTCAGTTTTTCATCCTGAACTTTCTCAGTAGCCTAGGGCTGTAAGTTTTGCAAGAAGTGGAACATGTTCAGAAATAAACTGAGTTCTTGAAATTACAAGATATGGGTGACAACTTGTTCTTAGCTGAGTATTGTGTGTTTTTACATACTAGAAAGGCATTTTTCCTTAAATAGCCCTATTAATTTATATTCATTTTGAGGTGAACTGCTGCTATATTATAGAAGCCTAGAGAGTTGGTGATGCTGAACACTGTAGGTGTCTTCAAGAGGCCTTAGATTTAAAGAATTTCTGTTGGTAAGCTTGAAGTTTAGCTACAGGTATGAATAACCCTAGGACCTTTTGCTAGACTCACTGCAAAAGGTTCTCATCTGTTTTGTTTTTACCCATAAGTAACTGGAAGGGATTTGATTTTGGGGTCAGAGTGACAGAACAAAAATCAAAACTCTTGGCTTATGTTTCTTGATTTGGCCTAGGCTCTTGGTTGCCTGAAGCATTATGTTCTGTCTGTGTTGCAAGGGTATCATAAGGTGTAATTATAGTTAATGAACCACACTTGAGATCTTCTTTCAGAAGTCAGTATGCAAATGTACACGTATTTATGACAATGCTGCATTCTTAGGCCAGCAGTAAACATCGTGTGACCTAATCCAGCCTGCTGAATATCACCACTCATTAGTACCTCTGCACTCAGCCCGGTGGTGAATGCTTGACGGAAGGGCATCGCCCAGAGGCATATCATCTGATCCTGACAGAGCTATAAAAGTTCCCCTTCCTGCAAGGGTTCTAATCCATTTCTGAGCTTCCTCTAGTTTGGAAATTTTTTGTTTGTTTTGTTTATTCCTGAGGAGGAGGAGATGGAACGTATGATTAGGATATCTCAGCTGGTAGCACCAAACCCACAAATCCTTGTCTTCAGGATCTAAACACTGTCATTTTTCACAGAGAAGCAATATAAAGGTTTCTCTTTACTTTTGCATTCAGAACGTTATTCTCCAGCAAAGGTTTATGTTGTTACATAGCAATTTTGGCTTTCACAGCTTGTCAAAGATGAGGAAAAAAATGTGCCTGGGCAAAGGGACAAGCATGGCACTCTGGGCTGCCTCAGAGGGAAACCAAAGGAGGCTCCTGGCTTGCATAAAATTGTTCCAGTTTATATCAAGGAATTTGTCTATCTTCTCTTTCTACTGCCTCTTGCCCTGAAGACATAGGCACATCCCCAGCGGGTGTGATTCAGTGTAGTCTCCCCATTGAGCTACTTGGATTTACATCTGCAATGTGTCAGACATGCAATCTGGCAGTTGGCAAAGGAATTTACTCATCTCCACCTCCTGCTGTCTGGAACAGCCTTATCAGTTCTCACTGTCATACTACAGCTTAGCTGCAAGCGTGTCTTTGAAAACTGAAATTAAATTGCCCTGCACTGCATTTTTGTGCATCTCTGCAATCAGATAGATTTTCAGGAGGTTTGTGAACATCAGAATAGATGTCTGTTCATCAAAGGAATAGCTGGCTTTCTCATGATGCTGGCAAATGAAAATTATAATTTATGACCAGTAATTGCAAGTTTCTTGTGACTTCTCCATGCCGGTTGGAGAGACTCCTAAATGGCAGAAGTGAAGCTGACAGTTGGCATTAGTTAGGAAAGTCATCCAGACTCCTAGCAAGACATTGCAGACTTTACCACCACCTCATCCTTAGAAACACGGACCAAGACAAGCTAGCAGGAGAGAAGGGGATGGGCAGGAAGCTTGAGCTACCTCTAAATGTGCTGTCTGTATTCTGGGAATTTGAAAAGAAATTTAGGCCCCCTGGGCTCTGGTTCCCTTTCCTTGTGGAGCATCTCAGGAGAAGGTTATGCATGCAAGGATAGGTGCACGTATGCACATGCACTTTTTATTAAACTGTTAACATACAAGATATTTGAAGGTATGAAAACACTTTAACTGAACAAACCTTCAGCTCTGACTGAGTTCGCTCAGTTTTCTAGAAGCAGTGGGTGTATTCAGAGGCTTAACATTGGGGGAGCTGTCTCGCATCCACCATATCAAGGACTTAACACAGTGACGGCTGTATCAGTGGCAGGATAGCTTGCTTTACAATACTGGGCTGACAGTCTGTCAAGTTCATAGCACACTTGTGTAGGCAGGGAATGAGAAGAGATCCATCCTAGAGCAAAATCAAAGAAATAGGAATGTCTTTAGGTTGTGTTATTTTCCTGCCTTCTTATTTTTCTCTTTCCAGTAGAATTCCCACACCATGTCACCTCAACTTTTTTTTCAAACATCCATTCTAAGCTATACACCTCTTCCCTCAACTTCCTCCCTGTGCCTCTGAAGATTTGCCAAGTCCCACCAGTATATCACCTGCAGCCAGGTTTCCACCTCCTCTCTTTTCCCCTCTGCTTCCCAGGTAGACCTGTATCTCGGTGCTGAGCTGCACCATGTGCTGTCTTCAGGTCTGTAACCTTTTATTCCAGATAGCTGTTTGCCATCACCTATGAACCACTGCATTTGCATTTTGTACCTGTAAAAGATGTAGTGCTAACTGACAGCAGGGACCATGTCCTAATTTCTGAGTTTAGACTGAATTCTGCTACTGAGACAGTTCAGTGGTGTTTTATCCATGCCTGTGTGTTGCTAGCACTCTTTGTAGAGGCTCCCTCTTTAGTTCCAGATGAGATCTTCAGTGATGTCAGAGCGTAAGATGCTAAGAAAGGTCCTGCAGGGTCAGACCACTGATGGCTCTAGCCCAGGGTCCTGCCTTGAATAGTGGCATCTGGAGAGATGCAGCTTAGGGTAAGTACACACGTCTGGATGTCTTCAGCACATCCCTCAGTATGTTCCCATCACCCACAGTCGCACTATTAAGGGCATTAGAGTTTATGCAATTGCCTCTCCCTTTTGGTATCTACTGTGGATCTGATGTTCATAAATTTGTCTGAAAACCTTGTGTGCTTTGTGGTACGTTCTGCTTCTGCAGCCTCCTAGGGAGAGCAAGTTCCAGGCGTTCCCTACTTGCTGTGTACAGAACTACTATTTGTTAATGTGTTTTAAACTAATGTCTACTCTGTGCACTGTGTTCTGGCATTGCAGGATGCGGTGAATCACAGTTCTACACTCACCCAGCATTTTCATAG